TTAAATAAAAAAAAAAATGAAATGAAGCCCGCTTTTTCTCTCAAAAATTAAGCCTCTTTGTCTGATTGGTTTGACATCGAGGACAGGAATTTTTCACAAATGAATGAAATAAATTTTCAGATTTCAATTAAAATATATTTAAAGCATTAAATCATATTTAATGCACTAGAAAGATATATTTTGTGATTATTGAAATTATGATAAACTTTTCAAACATCAATTAAAAATACACAAGGGACTACATTTCAAAATTGTCATAAGGGCATATGAACAAAAGAGCTCTCATGTTCATTTCTCCCATTTCTCCACTCATTCATCCAACTCTGTCCCACTTTTTATATTTCCTCTATAAGTCTCAATATGTGGATAGTAGCAATTACTCAAAACTTGTATAGTGTCATTTGAAATGTGATACATTCACAATTTGAATTTACAGATGGATTAAATTTGATTCCACAGCTCTTATTCATATCCTGGAATGATCTACTTTTACAGACATTATACTTAAGGTATTCAGTTTGCATTTTCAAGCAATCAAAGCCTTAGGGAATAAGTGGCTGCATAAACCAGGGGATTATTAATGAGCCTGCAGCTCAGTAGAAAGAGTTTCTTCAGAGAGAGAGACCTAGTCCAGGGTAGGAGTCCAGGAGACTAGGACAAAAAGAGAGTGCTTAAGTCATGAACAAAAGGCTTCCCTAAAACCTAGTTGCTTCTGGATAAAAGCAAATTCAGAATCAAGTCAGTTGTCAGAAATATACTGGCCTCAAGGGAAAGTTATTTTTAACATATGTCTTGTACTATTTATACCCAGGTGTCAAAGGGAAAGTAGTGATACAACCTGGGGATTAAATCAGTCTTACATTTGAGATAAAACATAGGCCCCAGGAATATCCCTCTCCGCTGAGATCTATCAAAGCATTGGCACTAACAGACACATCTTTCCCCCGACTAGCAACATGATGAATGAGATCCTGAGATCAGGAGCTTTGCTGAGATGGGACAGGCATGGTGTAATTACATATTTTTTCCTTCTTTGAACTTTGGCATTAGGAATGCACAAATGAAAGTTATATTAATAAATGAAAATGAAGCTACCTAGCAGGACCAAGACAAGCAAATAGCATATGAGCAGACAACACCTTTGCCCAGCTGGAAGCCAATTTTGATATGATGTAAAATGGAAATGCTGAGGATTGTGGAATATGTCCAGAGGAGCAAAAATGTAATAAAGAGATGAGAAGAGAAAAACAGAGACTCAGTGAAAGAGAGAGGACAAGAGAGAGAGAAAGAGGGTGATTAATTTAGAATGCAAAAAAAAAAAAAAAAATTAGTGCAAATACGTATATAGGATGAGTGCAAATATGACTGCAAAGATGTATAGGAGATGATTAGAGTCCAGAAAGACAAAGGCAATTTTACTAAAACAGGACGCAAACAGTTTGAAGGGAATTGGAACAGGTAGTCACCAAGAGAAGCAGAGCACTTACGACAGTAATAAAAAATCTACTATCTGACAATTTTGCGTATTAATGACATATACCCACCAGTAACGAACACTGAGGTGTGAGGCGGAAGGAACTCTGACTGTGACGGTCAATTAAGGTTATGTGTCAACTTGGTTGGGCCATGATTCTCAGTGTTTTGGCAGTTATGTAATGATGTAATTTGACAGTTATGTAATGATCTGATTTAGTAGTTATGTAATGATGTAGTTATCTTCAATTTTGTGTTCTGATGTGGTCATTTTCCATTTTTGTATAACATCGATTTTCAAATGACAGCCTGGTGTTTGGACTCTAACCATGTCTGTAAGTGAGGAATGTGTGTAGTCCTATAATGTATGCATTAACCTTGCAGGAATTGTTAAAAGTCACTATCAGACACAAAAATAATAGCTGTTTTCCTCCTATCTAAGACTAATTTCTCCCCCTCTACTTTGGATTCTGTCTTTTCTTTCATAAGTTTTGAATTATACGTAAGTATCTCCTCTGAAATTCCCTATCATATTGACCTTTCAGCAGTTAGTCTTGTTAACCACTCCCTCCTTTTTGGAACTCTTCTCTTGGACCAATTCTGCCCGCCTCCTCCTCCGTCAGTCTCTCCTCTTATCTCTCTCTTCCTGGTCATTAAATATGGCTCATCCTAAAGATTCCTCACAAGACTTTCTTCTCTAACTCCTCTCTCTCTTTCTTGCTCCCTCACTCTCACTCTATCTCGGCCATGTCAATTTGTTGTTGTTATGTTATCGTTGTTGTTATCGTTGTTGTTAGGTGCTGTCAAGTTGATTCCAACTCACAGCAACCCTATGTACAACAGAAATAAACACTGCTATGTCAATAGCACTTATTAATTCCATTATAATCCATACAACCTATGCCTGATACACCAACACCTTCCTTCCATTGATTGATTGTCTCCACATCTCTTTGATGTCTCAAAGGTACACTGAATTCAGCTATCACTTGAACATCACTATATGGAAACGACTTACAAGCACAAAGCTCCTAAACACATGGGACCCTACCATTTCCATCTAAGAATAAAGGGACTCAGGACTAGCACGGTGTTTTAGACTGAAAAAGATATGTTCAGTTAGACTTCTGGGCACTTAGTCTCAGTCAGTGATTAAATCTCTTTTATGTAATTTGCCGATGTACAACAGCATTTGTAATAATGGGGTCCTAGTCTCTGGTCAATAGTTGTGCAGCAAATAATTTGAAGTATAAGAAAAAGATATAAAAAATTAAGAGTGTTAAATCAAGTAAAGGGATATCAAAGGATGGAATATTTAGAGTGCTAGAGAAGAGACACAAGTGCCCCAAGGCACAAATGCATAAGCTCTCCCCATTCTCCTTGCCCTGAGGCCTGAACGCTATTGTTGTTGTTAGGTGCCGTCAAGTTGGTTCTGACTCATAGAGAACCTATGTACAACAGAACGAAACACTGCCTGGTCCTGCACCATCCTCACAATCATTGTTATGTTTGAGCCCATTGTTGCAGCCACTGTGTCAATACATCTCGTAGAGGGTCTTCCTCTTTTTCGCTGACCCTCTACTTTACTATGCATGATGTCTTTCTCCAGGGACTGATCCCTCCCAATAACATGTTCAGAGTATGCGAGATGTAGTCTCGTCATCTTTGCTTCTAAGGAGCATTCCGGTTGCACTTCTTCCAAGACAGATTTGTTTGTCCTTTTGGCACTGCATGGCATATTCAATATTCTTCACCAACACCACAACTCAAAAGTGTCAATTCTCCTTCTTCGGTCTTCCTTACTCATGATCCAGCTTTCGTATGCATATGAGGCCATTGAAAACACCATGACTCCGGTCAGGCACACCTTAGTCTTCAAGGTGACATCTTTGATTTTTAACACTTTAAAGAAGTCTTTTGCAGCAGATTTGCCCAAAAATGCTGGTTTGATTTCTTGACTGCTGCTTCCATGGGTGTTGATGATGGATCCAAGTAAAATGAAATCCTTGACAACTTCAATCTTTTCTCCATGTATCATGATGTTGCCTATTGGTCCAGTTTTGAGGATTTTTGTTTTCTTTATGTTAAGGTATAATCCATACTGAAGGTTTGGTCTTTGATCTTCATCAGTATTTCAAGTCCTCTTCAAAATTGCGCTTCCATAGAGTACAGGTGGTGTAGCAGATGTATAGAGAAATGCTTATGTTTACATGACATATAGATGATATTTAAATAGAATTGCTAGTATATAGAAATACAACTGAGTTTTGTATGTTGACCTTGTGTCCTACAACTTTATGAAACTCACTTCTTAGATATGGTAGCTTTGCTGCTGCTGCTGCTGCTGCTGTGTGCCGCAGAGTCAATTCCAACTCATAGTGATTCTTAATAGGAAAGAGTAGGTCCCATAAGGTTTCCAAAGCTGTAATCTTTATGGAAGTAGACTGCCACATCTTTCTCCTGCAGAGCGGCTGGTAGATTTAAACTGCTGACCTTTCAGTTAGCAGTTGAGCTCTTAACCACTGTGCCACCAGGACTCCTTGTGGTAGCTTTGTGCAGTGGATTTTCTACCTAGACCTGTAAGGACAATTTTAATTCTACCTTTCCAATCCATATGCTTTTATTCCTTTTTCTCGCCTATTGCACTGATTAGAATTTTTAGTATAATGCTTAATAGAAGCAGTGAATGTGGACATCCTTGCCTTCTTCCTGGTGTGAATAATAAAGTCTAATTGTTTTTTTTTTACAAGTCTTAATTATTTTTTGTTTACTTTTTCATAAAATACTCTGTAGTTTTAAAAAGATGTAGAAAGCATTTGTGCATTTAGATAAGCATTTAAAATATAAGTAAGACTACAAAGCAGTGTGACAAGTTTTCTTCTGTCACTTGTAAACTAGATTAGAAGGCAATCCTCAAAATTCCAGAAACAAGTAAAGCAAGAATGGAAATATTATCATTATAATTTACAATCAGGATAAACTGCATTCGATTAGGAATCAAGGGTTCTGGTCCCGTCTTGCACGGTACAATCTTGAATAAGCCTCTAGACCTCTGGATATTAGAAGTCCTGTCACAAAATGAAAGCCCTGGTGGTGCAGTGGTTAAGGGCTTGGCTGCTAACCAAAGGTTGGCAGTTCAAATCCAACAGCTGCTCCTTGGAAACCCTATGGGGCAGTTTTACTCTGTCGTATAGGGTCGCTGTTAGTTATAATTGACTCAACAGCAAACGGTTTGGTTTGGTCTTTGGTCACAAAATGAAAGAGGTTAAATCAGGCCATCATAAATATCCTTTCCAGATCTGTTATTTTGTAATGCAGTGAAATCAGACTGAGGAGATCCAAGCTGTTTCGGGTCAGGAATTTTAAAACCTTTATTCCATACACAGTACTTCTTGAATTTCTACTTATTTTTTGAGTCTTTTGAATATTTATTTTAAAAAATTTCCATGTTTTTCTGTGTATTTAAATATGTTTTCTTCATCGTTAACAATAAAAAAAGTTTCTCAGGGATATATTTTTCATTTCTTCTATTTGTTTTTGGCTTGCTTTTGTGATTTCTCCAATATCTCTTCTGGAGTTGTGAAGGCCAAAATCACCACCTTTTTACAAGACTTATCACCCTTATCCAGAACCACATCACTCTTCCTGAGTTCTAAGACCTTGGAAAGATGGTGGCAGAGCTCAGCATTACCCTTGCCGCGTGGTGGAGGTGCTGCAAGAGCTGCGTTTATGGTTTCCACCGTTAGATCTGTTACAGCATTTTGTTTGGAGCCAGGTTTGGCATGGATGGCTATGGTGATACAACCTTTAGGATCAACTGCCACAGGACCTAAGGATGGAAGTGGTTTCCCTGGTTCCTTGCTCTGGCTTTCACCCTTGTTCGTCACACCAGCCCCCTTAGGCATCTCGGCACCAAGAAGAAGCCGAGCGGAGGCCAGAGTACCGGGTCCTGCCCGGAGCTGCCTCAGCCCGCAGCGGAGCCGCAGCATCCCCGCCTAGGGAGGTCAGAAGTCTAATTGTTAATTAGCATGTTATCGGTAGGATTTCTATAGATGTCCCATCATCTGTTGATGAAATTTTCTTCTATTCCTAGTTTGCTGGAAATTTAAATCAATGTTGGATTTCGTCACATACAGTTTCTGCATCGATATACATACTTGTATGTATATTTATTTATATATGAATGTATGTACACACATACATGTATATATGTGTTTACATATATGTGTGTATGTTGTGTATGCATGTGTTTATGTGTGTGTGTAAGTTTGTTAATATGCTGAATTACACTGATTGATTTTCAAATGTTAAAACAATTTTGTGTCTTGCATTCCTGAGACATATTGTTATATTTAATTTTCTAAAATTTCATTAAGAATTTTTTGCATCTCTGTTAATACGGGTATTGGTCTGTATTTTTTCTCTCTTATTTTCAAATGTCTTTGTTTTTAGTATCAGGGTAAAATTGGCCTCATGGAATAAGTTGTGAAGTAGTCCCTTCTCTTCAATTTTTGGGGAGAATTTGTGTAGAACTGCTGTGTCTTTCATTATTTTTAAATGTTTGGGGATTTTCCAGAGGCAGTTTTGTTGTTGATTTCTATTTTAATTTCATTGAGATCAAAGAACATAGTTTGTATGACTTGAATTTTTAGAATTTACTTTTTTTGAAGGCCCATAAAATGGTCCAACTTGGTCAAATTGATTGATAATTTTCAAGTCTTCTATAACCTTACTAACTTTCTACCCACTTGTGTATTAGTTACGGAGAAAAGTATCAATATAGCTGACTATAGTTGTGAATTTATCTATATTTGTTCATAGTTCTGTGAGTTCTGCTTCATGTATTTTGAAGCTCTGTTATTAAATGCAAAAACATTTAGGATTATTATGTCCTGATGAATTGACTCCTTTCTCAGCATGAAATGGTCTTCTGTAGAACTGGTACTATCATTGTTTTAAATTCTTAGATTTCACCTGGTAATCCACATAGTCTGCGTGGGCATGGGTGCATGAACTTGTAGTTTGAAAGATTTAATTATAGAGTCATTTTACCTAATAGATTTAGAACTAATCAGTTTTTTAAACTTCCTTATTTTGTCAGTTTTGGTAAGTAGTGTTTATCAAGAAATTTGCCTATTTCATCATTACACTAATATGTATTTTCATAAACTTATTTACACTGATTTACACAAATTAATGCACACCTTCTACATTTATTTGTGAACTGTGCCCTCCCCCAGTAGGTATTTTCATAAGCACACTATGCTAATTTTTTTACAGCAGTATGTAAAAAAATCTTGACATGGTGGAGCTCATGAAATTTCTTGTGGGTTGGCAAACAAATGTAGAAGGCATGCGTTATTTGTGAAAAAATGTTATGTTGCTTTATTATTAAAATCTGTAGGATATCAAGTAACATTTCATTTTTTTTCTCCTTATAGTATTTTGTATTTCTCTCTTCGTTAGGTACTTTCGATAGAATTTTAATAATTTTATCAACCTTTTCAGAGCATCTACATTTTGCTGTATTGATTTTCTGTGTAGTACACTTGATTTCTATGTTAAATTGTAGAAGTTTTATATATATTTTGGATATTAGGCCCTTTTCTGACATGTGGTTCCCAAAAATTTTCTTCCAATCTGTAGGTTGTCTTTTCACTTTGTTGATAAAGTTCTTTGATGTAAGAAATTAATTTTTTAAATGAGGTCTTATGTATCTAATTTGTCTTTTGCTGCTTAGGCTTTTCTTACCATATCTGATAATCTATCACTAAACACTAAGTCCCGCAGCCTCACCCCTATATTTTCTTCTAAGAATTTTATGGTTTTAGTTTTCACATTTAGGTCCTTGAATCATTTCGAACCGGTTTTTATGTATAGTGAGAGGCATAGATCCTGATTATTTTTTATGCATGTGTACAGCACCATTTATTGAAGAAACTCTTGCTTTCTTCCTTATTGAATGGACTAAATACTGTTGTTGAAAATCAGTTGACAGTAGAAGTATGTATCTATTTTTGGACTTTCAATTATATTCCATTGGTCTATATGTCTATTATTATACCAGTACAAGCCTTTTTTATTATTGTCACTTTGTAGTATGTTTTGAAATTGAGAAGTGTGAGTCCATCCTACTTTCTTCTTCTTCTTCAAAATTGCATTAGCTATTTGGTGTCCCTTGCCACTCCATAAAGGGATGCTAGTGGCACAGTGGTTTTAAGTGTTCTGCTGCTAACCAAAAGATTGGTGGTTCAAACCCACCAGCTGCTCCATGGGAGAAAGATGTGGCAGTCTGCTTCTGTAAAAGATTACAGCCTTGGAAACCCTGTGGGGCATTTCTACTCTGCCCTACATGGTCGCTATGAGTAACAATGGGTTTTTGCTACTGCGTATAAATTTGAGGATTTGCTTTTCCATTTCTGCAAAGAAGGCTGTTGGAATTCTGATGGTATTGATTTCATTGAATTTATAGACGGCTTTGGGTGGTTTTGACATCTTAATTATATTAAGCCTTCCAATCTATTAACACAGATTGTTCTTCCATTTATTTAGGTATATGTAATTTCTTTTAGTAATGTTTTATAATTTTTTATGTAGATCTATCCTTTTATTTTTAACATACCTCTGTTTTTTATATGTAAAGTAGGCCGCTTGTAAACAACATTTGGTTAAGTATACTTTATTTACTCCAACCTGGAAATTTTGTTTTTTTTCATATGCAGTGTTTAATCTACAGAATTTGATGTGTTACCTATATAACTGGAATTAAATCTTCTGTGTCGCTAATTGTCTTTAATTTGTCCTATCTGTATAGTTGTACCTTGATATCTTTGTTACTACTGTCTTTAGATGTATTGAGTATATTTTTATTATTTTATATTATTGTCTCAATTAATTTTATAATTGAACATTCTTGTATTACTCTTTTAAATACCACCTAAAGATTGCAGTATATAAATTTGACTTATTAAGTCTCCCTGAAGATAGTAACTTTTCCACTTCATGAACAATCCAAGAACCTTCTAATAGTTATTTCCATTTTCACTTCTCTGTTTTATTTCTACAGTGTGTTTTGCTTCTATATATTTTACAAGCCCTACAAGATATTATAATTAATCTTATTGTTGCTTTAAACAATTAATGCTTTTATATTTACCTACATTTTATCCATTCTCATGGTCTTCATTTCTTGTAATTTTCTTACATCTGGAACCATTTCCTATCAAACTAACTATTTTAGTATTTCTTACAGTACGAATCTGTTGACCATAAATTCTCTCAGCTTTTATTTGTTTGAAATTACCATTATTTCCTCTTCATTTTTAAAGGATATTTTTGGGTAATATAGAATTCTGAATCAGCAGGTTTTTTTTTTTTTCTCCAATGCTTTAAAGATGCCATTAGATTGCATACTGCTTTCCATTGTTTCCAATGAAAAGTCAGTCATCAGTCTTATGGTTGCTTCTTTAAAGTGATGTGTTTTTGATCTCTGACTACCTTTAAGATGATCTTTTTTATCTTTGCTTCAGTAATTTGACAGTGATTTGCATAAATATGACTTACATTTGGGTTTCACTAAGTGTCTTCATCTGGGTTCTCTAGAGGAGCAAAACCAGTGCCTGTATATATATACGTGTGTGTGTGTGTGTGTGTGTGTGTATGTATGTAGAGAGAGAGGTTTACTTCAAGGAAATGGCTCGCACAATTGCAGGGGCTGGCAAATCCAAAATCTGCAGGTCAGGAGGCAGGCCAGAGATGTCCATAGCTTACATTCCCAAGAATCAGAAGTCAGGTGGCAAGAAGAGTGCAGTGTTGAGAGAGAGAGCTTTGTGAGAATACTCCCAAGGAAACCACCTTTTCAAATGATTGACTGATCACACCAGATTCCATCATAAAAGGTGATTACATTATATTACATTATGGAACAGGGTGATGGTTAATGTTATGTGTCAACTTGGCTAGGCTATGATTCTCAGTGGTTTGGCATGTACTCTTCCACAATGTAATTACTTTCCATTTTTTCATGTAATACGAGAAGCCAATCGATCAAAAGGTGAGTTTCCTTGGGGATGTGGTCTGCCTCCAGTGTATAAACGGATTTTCTGGTAAAGCTCACTCTCTCTTTCTCTACCTTGTACTCTTCTTGTTACCTGACCTCCAGTTCTTGGGATATAAGCTTTCAGAAGCCTCTTGCTTGTCACCTCACCTGAAGATTCTGGGTTCATCAGTTCCTACAACCACATGAGCTAGGTGAAGTCTTCATTCAGCTTGTCGCCTGACCCGTGGATTTGGGAATTGCCAGCCCCCACAATTGTGTAAGCCATTTCCTCACAATTGCATGTGTTATTTCCTTGAAGTGAATTTCTCTATATACCATAATTTTATGCAAAGAACACCCACTTTCTACATTTGTTTGCCAAACGTGCCTTCCTCCCACGAGGTATTTTGGTAAGCATTCTACGCTAATTTTTTTACAGCAACAGGTAAAAAAAATTTGGCATAGCCATGCTTATGAAAATACCTCATGTTGGGAGGGCACAGATGGCATATAAACATAGAAGTCGTGTGTTATTTGTCTTAGTCTTGGTTCTATAGAGGAGCAAAACCAGTGAAGCATATATAATATATACCAAATGTTTACACAAACAGCAATCAGTCCAGTATCTGCCAAACCACTGAGAATCACAGCAGAGCCAAGCTGGCACATAACACTAACTATAACACTATTTTTTGTTAATGTGTAGGTTGATATCATTCAAATTGTTAGTAATCAGTTCTCAAGTGTTGCCTTAATACCATTCTTCTCCTTATCTTCTGAGATTCCAATTGCATATGTTAGACTGGTTGTGTCCAAGATCTTTATTTTTTTTTAATGTGTTATTGAGATATAATTCAGGTGTTATACAATTCATAGCAAAAGTGTACAATTTAATGGTTTTTGTATTTGCAGATACTTACAACTATCACCACAGTCATTAAAAAAAAAATC